GCCTTAGTGACAATAAGGTCATTCTACGTGGTGATAGAATCGATAACATTTATATGGTTAACTTAGACAAATCTCCCTCCGGCTTTGCTAAGTGCCTCATGAGTAAAGAGGAAGACACTTGGCTATGGCACCGAAGGGTAGCTCATATGAACATGAACCTTTTGAACAAATTGGTTTCACAAGACTTAGTAATTGGCATCCCAAAACATAAGTTTGAAAAAGACACCATATGTGATGCATGTCAAAAGGGGAAGCAAGTTCGGGCTTCGTTTAAGTCTAAAAACGTTGTTTCAACGTCTAGACCGCCACAACTTTTGCACATGGATCTCTTTGGTCCTTCTAGAACGAAGAGTTTTGGTGGCAATTACTTTGCGTTTGTGATTGTCGATGACTACTCTAGGTTTACATGTACCTTGTTTCTAACTCATAAAAGTGAGGCATTTCACGTTTTCAAAAATTTCTTAAAGAAAGTTCAAAATGAAAAAGAAACAACCATAGTAGCCATAAGAAGCGACCATGGGGGAGAGTTCGAACGAAATCTGTTTTCAGATTTGTGTGACGAACTTGCCATTGATCATAACTTCTCAGCCCCACGTACACCACAACAAAATGGAGTGGTGGAACGTAAAAATAAATGTCTCGAAGAGATGGCTAGAACTATGATCAATGAGGCAAAAATCCCTAAGTATTTTTGGGCGGATGCCGTGAGTACCGTGAGCTACGTGTTAAACTGAGCCGTCATTCGACCGATACTCATGAAAACGCCCTATGAACTATACAACGGGAGAAAGCCAAACCTTTCCCATCTTCGAGTCTTTGGTTGCAAATGTTTTATTCACAACAATGGCAAAGACAATTTAGGCAAATTTGATGCCAAGTCGGATGAAGGAATTCTTCTGGGTTACTCATTACGTAGCAAGGCCTATAGAGTCTTCAATAAACGTACCTTGACTATTGAGGAGTCTCCTCACGTTGTATTTTCCGAAGATAATCCTCGCCTGGCGAGAAAGGATATTTGTGATGATCTTGCAGATTCATTAGAGAGAATACACGTTGATGACGATGAAGACAACATGGGAATATACATCAACACACAGCCACAAACTGGGGAGATACCTCAAGCGACTAACCAAGGTGAAGAAGAAAATCACGAGGAAGAAGAAGAACAAGAGGAACACGAAGAAGAAGCAACCGAGCTTCCCATAGCATGGAGAACAAACAAGAACCATCCGCTTGACCAGGTAATCGGTAGCATCAACCGCGGGGTAAGTACTCGTAACTCACTTAGAGACACTGTAGGACACATGGCTTTTGTTTCTCAAATTGAACCTACAACCATTTCCGAAGCAATAAATGATGAACATTGGACCTTGGCTATGCAAGAGGAGCTAAACCAATTCAAACGGAATGACGTTTGAGAATTGGTGCCAAGACCCGATGATCGTACGGTTATTGGTACGAAATGGGTGTTCCGTAACAAACTTGATGAAAATGGAATAATCACTAGAAACAAAGCTAGGCTCGTAGCTAAAGGCTACAATCAAGAAGAAGGCATTGATTTCGAAGAAACTTATGCACCCGTAGCACGTTTAGAAGCTATTCGTTTACTTCTTGCTTTTGCTTCGTCTATGGATTTTAAACTTTATCANTGGTGCCAAGACCCGATGATCGTACGGTTATTGGTACGAAATGGGTGTTCCGTAACAAACTTGATGAAAATGGAATAATCACTAGAAACAAAGCTAGGCTCGTAGCTAAAGGCTACAATCAAGAAGAAGGCATTGATTTCGAAGAAACTTATGCACCCGTAGCACGTTTAGAAGCTATTCGTTTACTTCTTGCTTTTGCTTCGTCTATGGATTTTAAACTTTATCAAATGAATGTTAAGAGTGCCTTCCTCAATGGTTTTATTCAAGAGGAAGTGTATGTTGACCATCCCCCGGGGTTTGAAGACTTTGAGTTTCCTGACCATGTCTTCAAACTCAAGAAAGCGCTCTACGGTCTTAAACAAGCACCTCGTGCTTGGTACGAACGTTTGAGCAAATTTCTTTTGGATAGTGGTTTCCAAAGGGGAAAGGTAGACACCACACTTTTTATCAAGAGTAAAAACAATAACATCCTTTTGGTTCAAGTTTATGGAGAAGATATTATATTCGGTGCTACTAACGAGTCTTTGTGCAAGGAATTCTCAACGTTAATGACAAGCGAGTTCGAAATGTCGATGATGGGTGAGCTCACATTATTTTTGGGACTCCAAGTCAAGAAAATGAAAGATGGCACGTTCATTTGTCAAACTAAATATTGCAAGGAGCTCCCAAAACGGTTTGAAATGGACAACACCAAAGCCATGGCAACCCCGATGAGCACGTCCGACCATCTAGACAAAGACGAGAAAGGTAAGGAAGTAGAAGTCAAAAAGTATCGAGGTATGATCGGATGCCTTCTCTATCTCACCGCTAGTAGGCCGGATATCATGTTTAGCGTATGCCTTTGCACAAGGTATCAATCATGTCCGAAGGAATCGCACCTAACAGCGGTGAAACGGATCATGAAATACCTTGTTGGCATGGTTAACGTTGGACTGTGGTATCCAAAAGGCTCTTCGTGTCATCTCGTTGGTTATTCCGACTCGGACTTTTCCGGTTGCAAATTGGACCGTAAAAGTACGAGTGGGACTTGCCACTTACTTGGTAGCTCTTTAGTTTCATGGTTTAGTAAGAAACAAGTTAGTGTTACGTTATCCATAACCGAAGCGGAATACGTTGCCGCCGGTAGTTGTTGTGCTCAAATCCTTTGGATGAAGTAACAACTCGTGGATTATGGCCTTAGTATCAGTCACGTTCCACTCCGTTGTGATAATACTAGCGCCATAAGCTTGACGAAGAACCCTGTTCTTCATTCAAGGACGAAACACATTGACATTAGGCACCATTTCATTAGAGATCATGTTCTCAAAGGTGATGTCGAAATTGAGTTTGTTGAAACACACAACCAATTAGCCGACATTTTCACAAAACCTTTAGAGAAAGAGTCGTTCTTCCGCATTCGTAGTGAACTCGAAATCCTTGACTCCACGATGATCTAATTTGTGTATTTATCATTTTTTCTCTGCTTGAACGTTTCCTAACTTGAGCGTCGGAGGGTTTTCTAACTCTTTTTTGCAGGAACGGTCAAAGTGCAGAATTCCGGAAGTTAGGGGGAACCAGCGATGGGTGGGTTATACCATCGCTGGGAGGAAAGTCATTTTTTCCAGAACCCCTCTTCCCATCGATGGGTACTTTCTCCCATCGATGGGTAATTGATTTTTTTTAAAATCTTTTAACGTTGTCTTTTCCAAAAACACCTTACCCATTGATGGGTATCTCACCCCATTGCTGGGTGAAGGACTTTTGTCAAAAATAATTTTCTTTCCAGAACCTCCCTACCCATCGATGGGAACCCACTCCCATCGCTGGGTGTTTGACACTTTTTTTTAAAATTTTTTTATCGGATTCCCAAAATCACCAACCCAGCGATGGGATGGTATTAACATCGTTGGGAAGGCTTTTGTCTTTTATCCTTCACTTTCCAGAAATCACCTTCCCATCGATGGGGGAATCCACACATCGCTGGGAAGGCAGTTCAGTTTTCCCCTTCGCTTTCCAGTGGCGACCATCCCATCGATGGGAACTTCTACCCATCGCTGGGAAGCCTACTGCGATTCAAAATTTTTTGACCGTTGGGCAACGAATTTAATGCCCAACAGTCATATTTTTTGAACTCAATCCGGTTTTCACCCCTTCCCTATATATACACACCTTGTTTTATCATTCCTAATCACAAATTTACATCACAAATTCAATCTCCTAATCAAATTTCATTCCTTCTTCTTCATAAACGCTACCATGGCCGGAGGAAAATCTAAGAGCAAGGCCTCCAAGAAGAAGACCAACATCGAAGCTACGACCTCTGCGCCCCAGCCGTTTCCCTATCTAGATGGCTCATTTCTTGAGTTCGGGTCGGAGGAAGAACTCACACGCTTCCTCACTCACTTCGCCAAGCACCCGATCTCTCCGCCTCGCGTGCTCCCGGAGTTGTTTCCCCAAGACAAAGGGTACCACGACCTCGACAACCAACTCCAAGCGTCGGGTTTGTGGCCATTCGTCTCTAAGAGCCGCTCGAGCTTCAATCCTGCCTTCGTCCGGGCCTTCTACTCCAATCTCCGCCGTGACGGGGACACCATACGCAGCAGCATCAATCTCTACGACATAGAGATTGATTTGCCTACCTTTGCTCGGATCGCAGGGCTGCCCACTCGCGGTGACGACATCGAGACATATGGTGGAGATGATTGGATTCTCAACAACAAGGCGGTGGTCATCCAAGAGCTTGGAATCACCAACCTCATCCGTCAGAGCGGCGCACCAACCATCCACTCAGCCCCGCCGGAAAAGCGTCTTCTGCTCTACATCCTCACCCGGATTCTTCGCCCCCGGGACGGTAGCCACACTTGTCTCTTCAACGAGGATCTCAAGGCCGTTCATGCCATCACCCATGGCGCCTCGATCAATTGGGCAAAATACGTCATGATTCACATGGCGGATTGCGCTCTTATCGCCACTGAGCGGAGCTTGCCATACGCCTTCCTCGTCATGGACCTCATCATCTCCGCCGACATCTCCATCGCCGGCCCGGATACGAAGATGATGAAGATTTGGATCATTCAAGACCGCACCTTCCGGAAGAAGTCCGGAGACCAGGACGGCGCAGGCCCAAGTCGTGCACCATCCCCCGCTCCCGCCAAGGCCTCTTTGCAATCCATAGCCGATACTCTGAATCAGCTAACCCTCACAGTGGATAGCATGGGGCAGTCAATCGAGCGGATGGACTGAACGCTGCAACGCCAACACCACGACATGACGGCGTTCTTCCGCGGCATCAACTACGTCCCTCCGCCCTTTGACACCACCTTCCTTGGCCAAAACTATGAAGGCGAGGACGAGGAGGATAACTCCTATGCTCCGTCCTCCTCCCCTGACGAAGCCGACTTTGAAGATGCGGTCGACGGCGATCCCATGGATGTCGAGGACGACGAGGATGACGACGAGGACGCCGATGCCTAGACTCTTCTTTTCTCTTCTTACTATGATTGTATTTTTTATTTCCATTCCGTTGTATTCCGCATTTCCCTTTTTAATGAATAAAAGTTTACTTTTAAAATTCTAAAGTTTACTTTTAATTCGTTTTGTTAATGTCAAAAGGGGGAAGATATTAAGGTTATGCATAAATTGAGGGTGAATTTTTTTTACTTTGTAAAATGGCATCTATTAAGGGGGAACATTTTTTTTCAAAATAATCCTCCTATGCATAGCCTCGTCTCGTTTGCCATTATCAAAAAGGGGGAAATTGTTGAAACACGGGCTTGTCACGTTTTCGTACTAAAGCAGTGTTCGTTTTTGTAATAGGTTTTGATAATGCCAAACCGCCGTGATCAAGTCGAACATTGAATATACAAGGCGAACAACGAAGATAAGAGCAAGAGCTAAACGAAGACCAAGAACGAAGACCTTAGTCATAGTATTGAGTCGGTCTTTATTGTGATCAAGACCGACCCAATCTTTACACCTTGGCTCCTTAGGCTAAAATCTTTCATTGCATTTCTTACATCATAAAAATGTTTTTCAAATTTGTTTAAGTCATTAAAAACACTTGGTGTTCGCCCAAACCAAAAACCAAGCCATCTAGTGTTCGGCTTTCAGAAACCAGCGTTCGGCTTTCGGTTATCGGCTTTGGTTTTTGGCATCCGAACCAACCAAGTGGTTTTCAGCATTTTATGATCTGCTTTCACTCTTTGGCATGTTTAAACGGTTCTACAACAAAAACACTTTGAAAACCATCTTTCGCTTTTAGTCGTTTGACAAAAACCACGCAAAACGGCGTAAACTTGGCTAGCCGTGGTTTTTACTCAAATGACGTGGTTTTT